TTAGATACATTTTATCTCTTAATTCATTAAATGAAGTATTTGTGAACAGGACTGACAAATACAAAATATAGTATACATAATGTATGTGACATAAGAAACTGTTTAAAGGATAAAGCAGGAGATACTGCAAGATTCAAAACAAGAAGAAAATAATGGTAAACATTGTCTGGGGGTTTCTGAATAATTTTACACTTTCTTCATGAGTTCTATCATGTTATAGATATCACTTTTTTTTTTTTTTTATCAGAAAATGCTTGAGTTCATAACAGTAGTCTAGAAGTAGGTGTACATGTTATACACCCTTATCTATAATTGCTATTATTTTTTATTCTATAAACAATCATTATTTTGTTTCAAGTATTTCCAACCACAAGCTTTTGATAGTTAAAATGTTGAGTACTTTGAACTTTTTTAATAGATGGTGTGGCACTTCCTTTGTCACTTAACCACAATACCACGCAGAAACAATGGAAAGTAAACAGTGGGGGAGTGTGTGCAGCGTCATACCATCTCAAGTGATTCACACTGATCAAGTGTTGTCTCCATTCCTAAAAAATTGTCTACATCTACCACCTTTCTATATCTATCACCAATACCTGTCTATATCTACCCCCTTTCTATATCTATCGCCAATGCCTGTCTATATCTACCGCCTGTTTTTATCTACCCCCTGTCTATATCTACAACCTGTCTATATCTACCTCCTGTCTATATCTATCACCAATACCTGTCTATATCTACAACCTGTCTATATCTACCACCTTTCTATATCTATCACCAATACCTGTCTATATCTACCACCTTTCTATATCTATCGCCAATCCCTGTCTATATCTCCCACCTGTCTATATCTATCACCAATACCTGTCGATATCTACAACCTGTCTATATCTACCACCTGTCTATATCTATCACCAATACCTGTCAACATCTACCACCTTTCTATATCTATCGCCAATACCTGTCTAAATCTACCACCTGTCTACATCTACCACCTGTCTATATCTATCGCCAATACCTGTCTATATCTACCACCTGTCTGTAACTTCTACCTGTCTATATCTACCACCTGTCATCATCTACCACCTGTCTATATCTATCACCTGTCTGTAACTACTACCTGCCTATAATTACCACCTGTATACAGGTACTACCTGTTTATAACTATCACCTGTCTATATCTACCACCTATCTTTAACTACTACCTGTCTATATCTACCACCTGTCATCATCTACCACCTGTCTATATCTATCACCTGTCTGTAACTACTACCTGCCTATAATTACCACCTGTATACATATACTACCCGTTTATAACTACTACCTGTCTACATCTACCACCTGTCTGGAACTACCACATGTCTATAACTATAACCTGCCTATAATTACCACCTGTATACAGGTACTACCTGTTTATAACTATCACCTGTCTATATCTACCACCTGTCTGTAACTACCACATGTCTATAACTATAACCTGCCTATAATTACCACCTGTATACAGGTACTACCTGTTTATAACTATCACCTGTCTATATCTACCACCTATCTTTAACTACTACCTGTCTATATCTACCACCTGTCTGTAACTATCACCAGCCTATACCTACCACCTATCTACTGTCTATTTGTCCAACTACTACCTGTCTATATCCACCACCTGTCTGTAACTACTACCTGTCTATATCTACCACCTGTCAACATCTACCCCCTGTCTATATCTATCGCCAATACCTGTCTATATCTACCTCCTGTCTATATCTATCACCAATACCTGTCAACATCTACCACCTTTCTATATCTATCACCAATACCTGTCAACATCTACCACCTTTCTATATCTATCACCAATACCTGTCTATATCTACAACCTGTCTATATCTACCACCTGTCAACATCTACCACATGTCTATATCTATCGCCAATACCTGTCTATATCTACAACCTGTCTATATCTACCACCTGTCATCATCTACCACCTGTCTATATCTATCGCCAATACCTGTCTATATCTACAACCTGTCTATATCTACAACCTGTCTATATCTACCACCTTTCTATATCTATCGCCCATACCTGTCTAAATCTACCACCTGTCTGCATCTACCACCTGTCTATAACTACCACATGTCTATAACTATAACCTGCCTATAATTACCACCTGTATACAGGTACTACCTGTTTATAACTATCACCTGTCTATATCTACCACCTGTCTGTAACTTCTACCTGTCTATATCTACCACCTGTCATCATCTACCACCTGTCTATATCTATCGCAAATACCTGTCTATATCTACCACCTGTCAACATCTACCACCTGTCTACTTTCTATATCTATCACCAATACCTGTCAACATCTACCACCTTTCTATATCTATCACCAATACCTGTCAACATCTACCACCTTTCTATATCTATCGCCAATACCTTTATAAATCTACCACCTGTCTACATCTACCTCCTGTCTGTAACTACCACATGTCTATAACTATAACCTGCCTATAATTACCACCTGTATACATATACTACCTGTTTATACCTACTACCTGGCTATATCTAACACCTGTCTACATCTACCCCCTGTCTGTAACTATCACCAGCCTATACCTACCCCCTATCTACTGTCTATTTGTCCACCTCAGCCATCATTACTCCTAGAACCTGTCAACATCTACCACCTGTCTACTTTCTATATCTATCACCAATACCTGTCAACATCTACCACCTTTCTATATCTATCACCAATACCTGTCTATATCTACAACCTGTCTATATCTACAACCTGTCTATATCTACAACCTGTCTATATCTACAACCTGTCTATATCTACCACCTGTCATCATCTACCACCTGTCTATATCTATCACCTGTCTGTAACTACTACCTGCCTATAATTACCACCTGTATACATATACTACCCGTTTATAACTACTACCTGTCTACATCTACCACCTGTCTGGAACTACCACATGTCTATAACTATAACCTGCCTATAATTACCACCTGTATACATATACTACCTGTTTATACCTACTACCTGTCTATATCTAACACCTGTCTACATCTACCACCTGTCTGTAACTATCACCAGCCTATACCTACCACCTATCTACTGTCTATTTGTCCACCTCAGCCATCATTACTCCTAGACTCTCCACTTGGTGACATATTATCATTTCTGTGGAGTTCCTGTCTATATCTTCCACCTATCTACTGTCTATATGTCCACCTAAGCCATCATTACTCCTAGACTCAACACTTAGTGACATATTATCCATTTCTGTGGAGTTCCTGTCTAGATCTACCACTTATCTACTGTCTATATGTCCACCTCAGCCATCATTACTCCTAGACTCAACACTTGGTGACATATTATCCATTTCTGTGGAGTTCCTGTCTACAGTTCTATCATCTTTCTACATCATCTCAGCTTTTATGTTCACTAAAACAGGTATTTTTTGTGAATATAGATTCGCAATACAATAAACCATGGTTTGCTGTAAATGTGTTGACTGTTCATAATAATTCCTTTTTAGCTCACCTGGCACGAAGTGCCAAGTGAGCTTATGCCGTGGCGCGGCGTCCGTCGTCCGTCCGTCGTCCGTCCGTCCTCGTCCGTCAACTTTTCCTTTAAACAACTTCTTCTGAAGAACGGACAGGCCTAGAGTCATGATATTTGGCTGAAAGCTTCGTTGGTAGGAGCCCTACAAAGTTTGAGAACGAAAATGACCTTGACCTGTTTTCAAGGTCACAGGGGTCAAATATGTCAAAAACTTCAAACGACTTCTTCTGAAGAATTAAAAGGTATAGAATCTTCATATTTGGCTGATGGCTTCCTTGGATGGAGCCCAACAAAGTTTGAGAATGAAAATTACCTTGACCTTCTTTCAAGGTCACAGGGGTCAAATGTGTCAAACACTTCAAACGACTTCTTCTGAAGAACTGAAAGGTATATAATCTTTATATTTGGCTGGTGGCTTCCTGGGATAGAGCCCAACAAAGTTTGAGAATGAAAACTAGTTTGACCTACTTTCAAGGTCACAGGGGTCATATATGTCAAAAGCTTCAAATGACTTCTTCTGAAGAACTGAAAGGTATAGAATCTTTATTTTTGATTGATGGCTTCCTTGGATAGAGCCCGACAAAGTTTGAGAATGAAAATGACCTTGACCTTCTTTCAAGGTCACAGGAGTCAAATGTGTCAGACACTTCAAACGACTTCTTCTGAAGAACTGAAAGGTATATAATCTCTATATTTGGCTTGTAGCTTCCTAGGAAAGAGCCGAACAAAGTTTGAGAATGAAAATGACCTTGACCTTCTTTTAAGGTCACATGAGGCAGATATGTCAAACACTTTAAACGACTTCTTCTGAAGAACTGGTAGTTATAAAATCTTAATATTTGGCAGGTGGCTTCCTGGGAAAGAGCCAAACAAAGTTTGCGAATGAAAATGACCTTGACCTACTTTCAAGGTCACAGCGTTCAAATATGTCAAACAGTTCAAACAGCTTCTTCTGAAGAATTAAAAGGCATAAAATTATAATATTTGGCTGGTGACTTCCCGGGATAGAGCTCACCAAAGTTTGCAAATGAAAATGACCTCAACCTACTTTAGAGGTCACAGAGGTCAACAACATTTTAATGGATTTGTTCTTGAGAACTAAAAGGAATGGATTCATAAGATTTGGCTGGTAGCTTTTTGGAATAGAGCTAACCAATTTGAGAAGGAAAATGACATTGACCTACTTACAAGATCACAGGGAAAAATATGTCAAGCAACTTCTGAAGAAGAATCAAAAAGCATAGAATCTTATAATAATATTTTGCTGGTAGTTTCAACAGATGGAGCCAACAAAGTTTGCGAGGGAAATATTTATAGTGCAATATAATATTTAATGAGAATATTTTGCTATGACTGCTTAAATATTCAGGTGAGCGATACAGGCCCTCTTGGGCCTCTTGTTACTTTATACAATGTATATAACTTGGGTTTTCAGATATTGATGGTCATGGACAGATCCTAGATTTCCACATCGAAAACATAAAGGCTTCAAAATGGAAATTGAAGGCTCATGTGCTGGAGAGGAAGGCGTCTACATACTGCCGCCAGAGGTCAGAGTTGGGGGCTCCTGTCATAGGGAGGATCAACCCGCCCCTATCCCAGGGAAATACAGAGAGTCAGAACATCAATGGTAAGGTTCTTTTATGTTTGTTAGGGTAGGTAAAGAGAAACAAAATCTACTCTATGACACTGAAGAAGAAGGTTTGTGGGTGGGTGGCGCAGTGGATAGCGCACTTTCGATTCCCGATTGGACATGAAAAGGTATGCCCAACCCCGTGGGTTCTCTCCCTCATTAAGACCCCTCTGTGCGCTAACATCTGGGCCAACAAGAGTGATTTATATAAGTTGAAATAACATATTGTTGTAAAATAAATAAAGTTTACATTTACAGGTTTGTGCAACTGCAGGCAACTAAAGATTCCAAAAGTACTGCAAAAGTTGTAATATCTGGTACACAGAACCCTTATAGATTGGAGCTACATGTACCTCCCCAATTTATGGAGTTATGCCCCTTTCTTCAAAACATACCAGAAAGAACTTTTCCTTTAGCACAGGCCTACCTTGATACTCCAGGGGTTACGCTCACTTTCACTTTCTGCACTCCTGGAATATGTTATAGCAAAATTAAAGGCACACTGCTAGCTATTTGATTGGTCTCGGATGAAAAATACCTGACCAATTGCTGGGCTGATAAAACAAAACTGAGAGATTTTTTCATGTACACAAGTGGTTTACACTGTGCCTTCAATTTTGCTATGACATATTCCAGAGGTGCAGAGAGTGTAAGTGAGAGTAACCCCAGGAGTATTGAGGATGAGCTCAGGCAGGAGGTATTAGTTTGCCATTTTGGCAAAAGTTTTAGTTACTTTTTTTCTTCTGAATTTGTAAAATGAAAAATTATTTCATAAGTAAGGATGTTTTTTTCTTTTAGATGATAAAACAATATCAGTGTTTGGTATAATTCAGAAAATGGCCACACTTGCCACATGTTTTTCCCAATTCTAAAGCCACTTGGCCCATTACCAAAATAGTGAGAAAATGCCCTGAGATATAAAATCAAATCCAGTATAGATGGAATGAGCCTGTAATTGTTAAAGATACTTCATTTCTCACCTGCAACACTGATATACATATACATAATGTATGAATGTGGAACATCACAAACACTAGTTAGGGACATTGCAGTATGATGTCATCTGTACGTCATGATGGGCAACAAAGCAGATTTGTTCCCAGTGGAGACTGTGATACTTTTCTACTTCATTTTCGAAAGCAGCTTATACACTAATAATAGAATGATATTGATCTCTATCTGACGTGACCATGAACCCTATCATCAAATTGTAGCTTCAGCATGCAGAAACTGAACAACGCTATTTAGATCTTACATGGACAGCTCAATTTCAGTGCAATATGAACAAGAGCAAACCATGTAAAACACACAAACAAGCACACATATTGCTCAACACAATCATAAACAGTATAAAACACAACCATGAACAGTAAGCTTACAACACAACCTTGAACAGTAGGCTTACAACACAACCTTGAACAGTAAGCTTACAACACCACCATGAACAGTAAGCTTACAACACAACCATGAACAGTAAGCTTAAAACACAACCATGAACAGTAAGCTTACAACACAACCATGAACAGTAAGCTTACAACACAACCTTGAACAGTAGGCTTACAACACAACATCACAACCATGAACAGTGAGTTAACCTTGAACAGTAAGCTTACAACACCACCATGAACAGTAAGCTTATAATACCAACATGAACAGTGAGTTTACAACACAACCATGAACAGTGAGTTAACATCACAACCATGAACAGTGAGTTTACAACACAACCATGAACAGTAAGCCTACAACACCACCTTGAACAGTAAGCTTACAACACAACCTAAACAATAAGCTTATAACACAACCTTGAACAGTAAGCTTACAACACAACCTTGAACAGTAAGCTTATAACACCCCCATGAACAGTTAGCTATAACACAACCTAAACAGTAAGCTTACAACACAACCATGAACAGTAAGCTTACAACACCACCATGAATAGTAAGCTTACAACACCACCATGAACAGTAAGCTTACAACACCACCATGAACAGTAAACTTACAACACAACCTTGAACAGTAAGCTTACAATACCACCATGAACAGTAAGCTTATAACACAACCTAAACAGTAAGCTTAGAACACAACCTTGAATAGTAAGCTTATAACACAACCATGAACAGTAAGCTTACAACACAACCTTGAACAGTAAGATTAGAACACAACCTAAACAGTAAGCTTACAACACAACCTTGAATAGTAAGCTTACAACACAACCTTGAACAGTAAGCTTAGAACACAACCATGAACAGTACCATGAACAGTGAGTTTACAACACCACCATGAACAGTGAGCTTACAACACAACTATGAACAGTAAACCTACAACACAACCCTGAACAGTGAGTTTACAACACAAACATGAACAGTGAGTTTACAACACAACCATGAACAGTGAGTTAACATCACAACCTTGACCAGTAAGCTTACAACACTACCATGAACAGTAAGCTTACAACACAACCTTGAACAGTAAGCTTACAACACTACCATGAACAGTAAATCTACAACACCACCATGAACATTGAGTTAACAACACAACCATGAACAGTGAGTTTACAACACCACCATGAACAGTGAGCTTATACCACAACCATGAACAGTTAACTTACAACACAACCATGAACAGTGAGTTTACAAAACAACCATGAACAGTGAGTTTTCAACACAACCATGAACAGTGAATTAACATCACAACCTTGAACAGTAAGCTTACAACACAACCTTGAACAGTAAGCTTACAACACTACCATGAACAGTAAGCTTACAACACAACCTTGAACATTAAGCTTACAACACCACCATGAACAGTAAACCTACAACACAACCTTGAACATTAAGCTTACAACACCACCATGAACAGTAAACCTACAACACTACCATGAACAGTAAGCTTACAACACAACCTTGAACAGTGAGTTTACAACACAACCTTGCACAGTAAGCTTACAACACAACCTTGAACATTAAGCTTACAACACCACCATGAACAGTAAACCTACAACACAACCTTGAACATTAAGCTTACAACACCACCATGAACAGTAAACTTACAACACAACCTTGAACAGTAAGCTTACAACACAACCATGAATAGTAAACCTTAAACAAAACCATGAACAGTGAGCTTACAACACAACCATGAACAGTGAGTTAACATCACAACCATGAACAGTGAGTTTACAACACCACCATGAACAGTAAGCTTACAACACCACCATGAACAGTAAACCTACAACACTACCATGAACAGTAAGCTTACAACATAACCTTGAACAGTGAGTTTACAACACCACCATGAACAGTAAGCTTACAACACAACCATGAACAGTGAGCTTACAACACAACCATAAACACAAATTGTGCATAATAATTTTGAGCAACAGACCCAAACAACATTGAACGTGAGCAAAACTCCCAAGAACAAATTCTAAGCATTCATGATAAAACTTGATTTAACTAAAAAAGCTGTTTTCACAGATACCCCCACTCTCCACATATGAAGCCGATTCATGAAACAGTAGCTGAGATATGCTGTAGAAAACATTGTTTTTGTACTTTAAGTGAAGGTCAAAGGTAAAATTTAGGTCACACTTACCTCATTAAAAGGTGACACATATAAAAGTTTGATGCCATTCATGAAACAGCTGCTGTGATATGCTCTGTAAATCATTATTTTAGCACTTGAGGTCAAGGTCAAAGGTCAAAATGAGGTAACAGTGATATTGTTTTAGAATGGGAGAAACTGCATTTCCCGTATGTACCAATCATTATATACAAAGTTTGATGCCTACATGAAACACTAGCAGCTGAGAAACTCTCCGAAAAACCATGATTTAAGTACTTTAGGCCAAGGCCAAAGGTTATATATAGGTAACAGTGACCTTGTTTTAGGATTTTACCAAACTGCCTCCCTTTGATTTACCTTTAGAAAAAGTGGACAGGAGGAAGAAACCAATACTACTTCTGTCCAAGTGGGAATATAAAAACCCACTGTTAAGTTACTGAAAAACAGTGTGTGAAAGGAGATTGCATATGTAAAGACGATGAATTCTTAGGGCTTATTTCGTAGAACAGATGGTAAAACATGAACTCTTACAGCTGATCAACAGTAAATTAACCGTTACTCCTACACCTACTACTGTGGGGTATGGCCTGCATAGTCGGGAGGCAGTTATAGTATAAACTGGGTGTCGATTAGGAGTTGAAACAGGTGTAGGCTGATCATGATTTGTGAGTTGATGCAGATTTTAAGATTATGCTGTGTGATTTTACGTAGAATTAAAATATCATTATTTGTGAGTTACAGTAAAATTACAGATCCCTTTGAGTTGAAGCAGAGGTATATACAGATCATGATTTGTATGTTGAAATAGAATCAATTTTAATGATTTGTGAATTTTTAAATGAGGTAAAATTAAAGATCATGATTTTTGAGTTGATGCAGGCATACAGATCATGTCTTGTGAATTGAATTAGAATCAAAGTTGATGCATGTATACACAGATTATATTAAAAGGGATTTCTGATGTAAACTCTATTTTGACAGAGGAAGGACTTGCATTAACTTTCAATACGATCTCAAAGTCTATAAAAATGTATGACATTATACACTGTACAGGTAGCCCTGCATCAGGTCTTGTTTCTAATCACGAGTTCCCAGTTATATCTCAGTATCTCATTTTCTGTATCATATCAGTCATCAAATACAACACAATAAATGAAGATTGGCAGCACATCCTAGACAAATATGTATTTGAAGGTTTATTTTGGGAGGCTGACGTATAGGTAAATCTTTTGTATGGAGTGTAGTCGCTGCACCTTCGTCAGATGCTGTGTATATAGACACTGTATACAAAAGGTGATTCGGGAGGCTGATATATTGGTGAAATCCATGATGAAAAGGTGGGGTATTATGTATATTGGTTGCACCTTGTACTATATATATAAGGTGGTGAGAGTTGGTGAGTGGTGGAGAACCAGAGGTACTGCCAGTGTACA